TCTAGTTTCAACCCCCAGTACCAAATCAAAACAAAACAAACTTAGCATTTCACTGCCTGGTGCTTGATGAAGATTGCTTTAATGACTGCATTATCAACATAGGATGGGGATCCTCATCTTTCAGTTCTTTCATTCCATTCTAAGCCTGTGGAATAAGAATTTGACATATTAATTCACTTTCTGAAAAAAAGAAAAAACTGCGTTCACCCTGTTTTCCTTTGAAGAGTGTGCCTAGTTTGCTCCAGGAAAGGGCAGGGGTAGTGAGGTCCCCTCCTGAGCTCTGTGCGTGGGAGAGCACTTAAATCCTCAGGGTTTCAGTTTCCTTAACTATGAAATAGGGGTGACTCACTCTGGGGTGCAGCAGAAATCAAATGTAGCTATGGACACAAAGTATTAAAGACTATCCCTGACACACTCTCTCAGCAAATATTCACTGTTATAACTATTTCTTATAACACACGTGTTTTAGTTATTTTTCTCTCATTGCTGAGACAAAATACCCAACACTCAAAGTTAAAGGAGGGAAGGTTTATTCAGCTCACAGTTTGTAGAGGTTTTAGTCCATAATCAGCTGGCTGCAAAGCAGGGTAGCATCATAGAGGAGAACAGTTCATGGTGGACAGAAGGTAGCAAAGCAACAAGGAACTTCAGCAGCATCTTTCTGCCCTTTTTATGTTATCTAGACTACTTAGTGCGAGTAGCACTCACACCCTTAATCCTAGTGCCCTTGAGCCTAGCATTGCACCATGAATCAATTCCAGCATCACACACTCTAGATCCAGCCACTTCTGGAAAACCCCACCTGTGACCACATGAGGCATTGGGGGAATATCTAAACACAAGCCTTAACAACATGATACTAAGAAAAATGGATGAAACTTTTCTTCACATGAATATGTGATAAATTTGAAGTGTTAATGTCATATCCCAGACACTTCTCTGGGATCAGTGCCTATGGGACCAGGGAGTCTAAACTCCATCTCAGCTCCAATTGGTCAACTCTGTGCTCACCATTTCTCAGAAGTAGTGAACAGGCTTACCTTTATTTCACCCTCTGTACCTCTTTCTCACCATCTGTTCCAGGTGCTAATTAGCAGAGTAACAGTGAAGGAAAAAGAGAATAAATATGAAGAAATGTTAAAGGAGAAGCCAGGAGTCTGACTGATCTCAGGCAAAGCAAAAGTTTTGAATCTGTGAGCAGAAACTGTTGGCTCTGTCCAGTCCAGTGCACTTGAGATTTATGCTTTGAGTTCAGTGTTTTCTTGGAGCTTTCCAGGAACTGGTGCACAGCTTTTTGTTAAGCAACTTTTCCATTGCTGAAATCCAGTGTCCAGCACCCACTACTTAAAGCAGGGTAGGTTTAATTTGGCTTATGGTACCAGGAGATTCAGTCCATGGCTGGACAACCCCAAGGCAGAAACATCATGGTGGAAGGGTATGGCAAAGCAAAGCTGCTCAGTCCATAGAAGCCAGGAAATAGAGCGGGGCAACAGTACCACGAAGAGATGAATGACGAGACACAGAGCCCAAAGCCATACCTCCAAGACCCACTCAGACATACCTAGAAGTGTGCTCCACAATCACTGGTGTGGATCCCAAACCCAATCAAATTGACACTTCACCCTAACCACATAGGCTCGAACACACAGATCCATATAGTACTGTACTTTTCTATTATTACAAACCTGGGCGGAACTATGAAGTGTTACAGAGATGTTAGTGATTCTGTTTGAAGGCTTCTGGAAATTAGTTTCATCGTCACCACCAGGTTTCAGCTCAGATGGACATTAGGGAGAGATCATCTTCCCTTGTTGTCTGCACCCCTCTGGAGCAACTGTGTCCACACTCTGAATTGGTAATGTTGGGTGAGATGCAGTCTTCCTTTTTTCTAGAATAAGACAACTATACTTAGCCAGTAGTTGTGACCATAAGACAAAGTTCTCTTCAGTGAAATATTGGTATAGATGATCACATCACTTCCAAGAGGGGGTGTGGAGAGGGCAGCTGGGCCTCCACAGGCTCCTTTCCTTCCAGCTGCTGGCCACACATAACTGCAGGCCCAGAAAACAGGTGTCTGAATCACCATGTGGAGGAAATCTGTCCAATAACCAAACACTCATGCTGGGCTGCTTTATCGGTTAATTTTCCCCACTGCTGGGACAAGGTAAAATAGCCGAATCTTACAATTTAAAGGGGGAAAGGGTTATTTTGGTTCATGGTCTCAGAGACTTCAGTCCTTAGCCAGCTGGTTTCATGGCACAAACATCATGGTGAGAGGGTGTGGCAGAAAAAAGATGTTCAACTTAATAACATCTTGGAAACAGAGATGAGGGCAGAGTCTAGTGTGGCAGTGGTCAAGGACCGGAGATAATCTCCAAGGTCACACCTCCATGACCCAGACACACCCAGAAGTGTGCTTTACTTACTTCCTAGGCATCTCTCAAGCCAACCAAGTGGATAATCAAGACTAACTGTCATAACTCTCATGTGGATGACAAAATTCTGTTGTGCTTGAACCATTGGTATAGTGGTGGTTTAGCATATCCTAACACATTGCCTTAACATTTTACTTTTAGAAATGCAGTCATTAGATTGTGGCTTTCCCACCTTTGTTTACTCTTTTCATAAAAGACCAATATGTCTGGGTGATATAAAATATTACACATTCTTAGTAATTTGTCCTTAGAAAATCCCCTCAGAGATTTACTGAAAATAGCAAGGTACAGGTGAAGGAAAGGACAGATGAGGAATACGAAGTAGGAATCTGAAAAAGAGAAAAGAAATGACCAGGACTGTGAAAGCCCAGTGCTCCCAGCTTTCATGAAGCAGCTCTGAGTAACATGTTAAAGTGGAGAAGACCAGAGCCATCTTCTCTGCATTTTGAGGATGGATTTTCTGGTTTCTCTCTTGGCCCAGCTGGGGAAACGGTACCAGAGGGAGTCTGCTGCTCCATGGGGCATGCTAAAAGGAGTTCGCTGTGGGATAGGCACCTGCTTGATGCCATCGAAAGCACACACTGCCCTTTCCCTTCCAGGGCTCAGCAGATCTCCTGTACCTATAGCTGGGCTTCCCAGGAGGGAAGGGACCCCACACCTGGTACTCAAGTTCAAGGTCACTGTGGTTGGAGGACCCTGCTAGATGAAGCGGTGACTAATACTGTTTTGGAGCTTTGACCAATTGGATTCTGTTTCTTATGCTGATGTTATGTGATTTCTTTCCCAGACCCAAACAGTCATTTAAAAAAACTACTTCAATTCAGCACAGCAGCATTTCTTAAGTATCTAGTGTGTGCTGCCATTGACCTCTCCACAGCTCTTGGCTCTTGGTTCAAATTGGCTTCTAACACAAAACCCTGGAGTCAGCACTAAACTTTGGTTCTCTGCACACAGTCTGGGCCCACTATTGAGGAACTGAGGCCAGAACAACAAGGCCTCTATCATCGGTTTCCATTCATCACAGGGGTCAGTTTGTTTCAGGGAGAGCTCGAGTACCAGATCCTTCCCTGACAGAGAAGAGGACAGGCCTTAGGCTCTCTTTCTCCATCCATTCCTGAGCCAACTAGGAAGGCAAGGAGCACTTACTGTGCTGTTGTCTCGGGGCTGAGCTCTGATTTTCAAAATCCTCAGGGCCAACTGTCTTCATTTGGATGACCATAAATTCCATCCTTTCATTCAAAAAGAAGGAAACGTTCTGTGGAGGACAGCTGGGATGGCTCCCCTGAAAGAAGACAATTTGTCTGCATTTTGGTTAACCCTTTCCCTACTTCTGTGTACTGACATGTACAGAGCGGGCTAGGAAAATACTCTACCCCCTCAACTGGGTCTAGCCCAGGCGCTGATGTGTGGCCTTTGAAGCAGTGGCTCCCTACTATTAAGCATGGGCTAGGCCAAAATGAGCACTGTCAGTCAGGACTGAGTCTTGAGAAAGAGGCCATGACATCTCAGGAGAGAAGGGCCAGACATCAAACCTGAAGCAGCCCACCCAAAACACAAGGTACTTCCTCTAACTGTGCTATGCAGATTCCTCCACACTTGCAAGCTACCTGTTACCAGAATCCAGTACTCTTTCTGCTCACCTCTCTCTGCATATTGCAGAGGTGCTCTTGTGCCTCCTACCAGCCCAACTCACAGCACTCACGTACTCCTGCCATTCTCACAGTCACTGGATCCTGAGCCACTTCCCTCTTCACGAATTAATAGAACCCGGGTTTGGCCTTGGGTCATGGCCTTTGTTCTGGTTAGCCCTTGTTCTGACTGGACTTAGGACCCCTGGGCTCCCGCAACTCCAGATATGTCTCTGTCTCTTTATTCTTGCCATGGGTTGTACTGCAAGCGGTACACTGGGATTTACTTGTGAGAATTCCAATAATTTTTCCCTGGGATTACAAACATAAACTCTTCCGGACCGAGATGGGGTCCAGACAGGCTCCCTATACATATTAAGGCCTTGGTCAACCACTATAAAAGAAGCATCTGTGAGCACTGAGAAGAGTGATTCACCAATCATTTCCTTCCATTCGCAGGGACAAGTTCAGACACAGATGCAGATGGAGTTGGGAGAAGACGGCGATGAGATGGGGGTGCTGGAGCCGAAGGCGGGGGAGTGGAGACGAGGTGGGTGGAGCTGGGGGTGACGGAGATGACATCGGGGAGGGAGAGGTGAAGAGGGCGAGGACTGTGTTTCAGGACACAGTGTATATCTAGCTAAGGTCCCTTCCATTCAGGCTGGGAGAAGGGCTCTCATGTTTATGGTCAAGGGGAACTTCACGTTACAGAGATACAGGAGGAGCAAGAGGAGGTGCGCAGGTCCTGGGGAGTGGGCGCAGGCAGAAACCCGGCGGCAGGCAGCGTCCTCTCAGAATGGCGTTTAGCTCAGCGGCAAAAGCGCCTGCCTGGCAAGCGCAAGGTCGTGAGTTCGGTTCCCAGTACCGGAGCAAAACCAAAAAAAAAAAAAAAAAAAAAAAAAAAAAAAAAAAGGGCGTTTCACACCAGAGCTCCACAGGCTGCTGCGGGCGCGTCTGGACCTGGCTGGACGTCACACCACGGCCGGCAGAGCGGACCCAAGAGAGGACATAGACGGTCAGTGCCCATGACTACCTGCCTGACTCCTGGGCGCCCCCGGGTGTCCGGAGGAGAAATCTCCAAGGCTTGGAGTCAGCCAAGGGCTTTTCTTCCTTCTTCCTCCCTCCCTCCTTTCCTCTTTCCTCCTCCCTCCCGCTCTCCCTTCACCCTTCCTTCCCTCCTTCTTCTCTCCTCTCTTTCCCCTCGCTCTTTCTAGAAATAATCTGTGCACTGCCTCGCAGCTCTGTGCTCCACTCTGGGGTATGGGGCAACAGCACAGCGCGGTGTCTGAGTGAGAGAAGTGAAATCTAGCTGGGAAAACAAACAAAAATAAATCGACTCCGTGAGAGGTTGCCGAAGCAGAGCTACACAACACTGAGAAGAGCAGAGAGAAAGGCCCGGGGTGTGTCCGTGCGCGCTGCGTGGGGCGTGCATGTGCTTGTGTTGTGTGTGTGCGTGTGCAGTGTGTCTGGTGTGCATGTGTGGCGCGTGCGTGTGCTGTGCGCAGCGTGGACGTGGTGAGGGGTGAGCGGATCGGTGCTGCTCCCCAGGCCGGGTGTGGGCTCGCCAGCCCGTCCATCCTGAGGCCAGCGGCCTGTCGGGTTGGGTTGCTGTTGCACCGCGGAGGTCGCCGCGTGAATGCAGCTGTGTGGGACAGTCGCAGCGTGCGACAGGCAGCGAAAGCGCTGGGGTCCAGTCCAGGGTTGCATCCGCTCTCCCAGGAGAGCCAGGCCTGGGAGCGCCCAGCGCGCCCCGCAGGGAGCCCCAGGGCCTGCCGTGACCGCCCTCCCCAAGCGGATGGCTGGGCACCTGCTGCCCTCTAGTGGCCGATTAGGCGAAGTCCCGAACGGGCAGTCAGCTTCAGCCTCCTGAGTTTTGAGATTACGGATTACAGGGCGCCACCCCCCGCTGCCTCTCGTGATCTTTTTAGATAGTCGATAAATTCATATTTTTCTACGGAGTCTGTCAAAAAACGTATACACCCTTCAGCAGTTCACTATACTAGTAAATGCCTGGAGGCTAATGGTCACCACTTTGAGCACCTCTTGTAACTATAGATACCAAAGGAAACTTGTATTAATTTCATGCTATCTCAATAAAGTTAGTATTAAAATATTTATGCAAGTTTTTCTTTACTTGAAGTATACATTTTTGTGCAGACTCTGTATTTATTTTTAAATTTAGCTTACAATATTTCTTCAGCATTCTTAATAGGGCTTACACATTTCTTATTAAATTTCTAAGGCATTTAATCTCTATTGTAAATTGTGTGTATTATTTCTTCCACTTTTATTTTTAATTTGGAGATTTGTGCGTGTTTCTGTGTTAAAGAGTTATACATTTTCTAGGCTTGATTTGAAGGGTGACCAAACTGTTGGCAGTGTATGTTTTCAGATGACTCCTTCAGGTTTTCCTGGTTCTTAAATGTATCATTTGCACATTAACAATGTTTTCTTCTTCTTGCCTCACATTTATGCTTTCTTTGTTTTTTCCATTGGCCAGTGCTTCCTCATCAACACTAGGTAATTATGGAAATCACAGTCTTTCATGTCTTAGAGTTTTAAAATAAGCATATTCTCATGTTTGTTATGAAGCAAGATGAATTTTGGAATGAGGGATGGTGTCCGTCCTTAGAGCTCTTCATTTAGTGAAAAATAAATCCAGGTATAAGGCAAAGAGTCACTTCCTGTAAAACACAAGTTTTGGTTTAAACAAAAATCATTGATGAACTATATCCTAAAAGTAAATTCTTATTGTATATGAGTGACGAGCAAATGGATTCTCTCTTTTTTGCATATGTATGCATTTGTTCTCTTTTTATGCTTTCTAAAACAAAACAGAACAACTTATCTAATGAGTATTTTAAGTTTGACTTTGTTTTGCGGTCCTGCTGGGTTTAGTATTATTGGCCTTATCTGGGTACTAAAAGTTTCATGGAATCCGTTCGTGACAGTACCAAGAGCTGGCACTTTCTGGTGGGCTTTAATCTTATGTTGCTTTCTCAATTCCTTCCAGGATTATTAGATTTCACTATTTATCCGGGCAAAGTTTAGTAATTTCCATTTTTAAAAAATCATCTCTTTTTTTCAAGTTTCTACATCTACTTACCTGAGATTAGGTCATATTTTCTTATAGTTATTTTCTCTATCTTGCTCTCTTTTTATCTTTGAATATTTTTACTTTCTTTTTTACCTCTTGATTGTTAGTGGGAATTATGTTATTATTTCAAAAGGTAGGCCTTTATAGTTTTAGTTTTACATTTGTCTTAGTTACTTTTCTCTCATTACTGAGACAGAAGTCCCAATGCCCGAAATTAAGAAAGGAAAGGTTTATTCAGCTCACAGTTTGTGGAAGTTTCAGTCCATACTTGGCTGGCTCCAAGGCATGGTGGCACATGGCAGAAGGCAACCGTTCATGGTGGCAGAAAACAGCAAAAGCAACAAGAGAAAAAAGGGAGGAGTGGCAAGCCTCTCTCCCTCCCTTTATATTGTATGCAAACTATCCACCCCAGGGCACATGTAGCACTCACACCCATAATCCCAGCACTGGAGTATGGATCAATTAAAAACTCTAGGAGCCTGCCCCATGATGATATGAGGTTTTGGAGTGCCATACAAACACAACCATAACACCAGTTTTCTTCTTAAATAATGAACTAATTCTTGAATGCTTCCATAGGTCTCTATTATGTAACATGTGGCATGGTGTTATGGTTTGTATCTAAATATCCCCTCCAAGACTCATGTGGTCATAGGCGAGGCTTTTTGGAGGTGGCTGGTATGTGATGCTGGGATTAAGGGTGTGTAATTACTAAATTAGTCCACTGATTGGCCTAGCATAGTTCTGGGTGTAGAAAATGGCAAGGCCCAGCCCAGGTGTGGGTGGCACCACCCCAAATCCCGGTAGCCTAGCAGGGATAAAAGGGAGAGGTAGGCTTGCAGCAGCTGCTGCTGCTTGCTATTTACTGTCTTCTTCCTGCTTGCCCTGTACTGTTTTTCCACTATGATGCCACTCTGCCATCCACCCTGCCTTTGAACCAGCTGACTATGGACTGAAATCTCTACAAACTGTCAGCTGAAATAAGCTTCCTTCCTTTAACTTGTGGGTGTTGGGTATTTTGTATCATTGAGAAAAGTAACTAAGACACTCTCCTAACTGCCATAGTCCCTGCCCCTTGTTTTCTTTGCCCAGATTATTCATGTATTATTTTCTTGGCTGGACTCCCTGGACAGATAAGGTATGACCCAAGCTTCAGGCTTTTAGTTTTCCCCTGATCTCTGCTCATATCCCCTGGCTTCTAGTATGTTTAATGTTTAGATTTTTTGAAGCCAGACCTTGGAAGGATTGAGAAGTGCCACACTGAGGCACTCTATGTAAAAGCGGGAGGGAAGGCATCGATTAGAGCGAAAGCCAAGATTGGAGGCTAATTCTGCTTTTCCCTTTCAGTTCTTCAAAGGTTGAAAAAAGAAAGAATGGGGAACATTAGCATCATGGGCTGAGCAAGGTTACAGAAGATGTGAAAGGGGCCATCTTAGTCCACTGGGCCAGTGAAACGCATTTGTCCAAGGTATGAAAGAGAAAAGGAAGGGAAATAATTATTTCATTTATGGACAGCGGGGAAGAGGTGCATGGATTTCTATTTGAATGTGCAATGGGGAGCTCTGCTAAGAAACACAGGTTTTGCTGGTATGCGAAGCTGACCCCACCAATGGCAGGTTGCATTTCTGAATTCTGCACTATTTCTGATTTCTTCCTTCATTCTTTTGGCTCTTTCAACATATGTGTAAGTTTCTCATTATTTACATTAAATCCTTTCCTGCTATGATGCCTGGGGGCTTTGGGGAACAAAATATAGTTGTTATGGGCTAAATTGTGTGCTCCCAAATTCATATATTGAAACCCTAGTGCCCTTTAACTCAGAAAGTGGCTATATTTAGAGACAGGTTATTTAGAGGTAAGCTAAAATGAGCCCATGAGGGTGGGTCCTAATCCAGTTTGACTGGTGGCCTTATATGAAGAGCAAATTTGAGCATGCAGACCCTCCAGGATGTTTGTACACACAGGAAAGACCAAGAAAGACACAGTAGGAATCTGGCCATTTACAAGATTAGCCAGAGAGAGGCCAAGAGGAAACCAACCCCCAGCACCTTGACCTTGGACACTGGCTCATAGAACAGTAAGTATATAAATTCATACTGCTTAAGCCATACAGTCTGTGGTATTTTGTGGTGGCAGCCTTTGGCACTGAACAACGACCGAAACACGAGCTGGGCTGGTGGAACTGTAGCCCTCCAAATAGTCCCTCTGACTCTTTGGAATGCAAGTACCATTCAGGTGATTCCCTTAGGTTCACATATTTGTGAATTCCTTGAAAAAATTCACACAGTCCTCATCCAGAAGTTGAGGTAATACAAGTGCTACATAAATTCTCTATCTTGGTATAAGGGCTAGTTCTTCATCAATATCCAGAAAAATGGGCACAAAGTGCATTGGTGACATTGTGCTCCAGTTGTTTCTGTACATGTGTGAGGGAAGCTGTTGCTCATGCCACTTCCAGCCAGCCTGGCCCTGCCCAGCTTGGTGCTGGCACAGATCAACCACTCAACCACCTTCCTTCCTTCCTTCCTTCCTTCCTTCCTTCCTTCCTTCCTTCCTTCCTTCCTTCTCTTTCCTCTCCTTATTCTTCTTCCTCTTCCTCCTCCTCCTTCTTCTACTTCTCTCAAAACCAACTATGAAACCAGAACTGAGTTACAAGGATCTACCGCAAGAGAGACCCAGAGGAATCTTCCCTCAGAATGGGCAGAGAATAAAAGGACTTATATTGACAATGCCCGTGTGAAGTAGTTTAGCTATTAACCAGATTTTCTAACCGAAATCCGCAAGTTAGTCCTTCAAAACCTACTCTGAGCTTACTCCTTCCCCAAGAAGTGGACAGTCACCAATATGGGCCCATAGCACAGTCACTAACAACACATCAGCTACTGTGGCACTTCTAGATCAGAGAAATGACAAACAGATCAGCGTGCATCTGGCATGGTGACACCCATCTGAGCTGAGTGCTACTGGCCCTTCCCAATAAGGAAATTGTCTTCCAGGGTGAACTTTCACAAAACTACCCAAGAAGTACTGACACAACTGGGCTGATCCCAATCTAGTTCTTCCTCTAAATTCACATGTACAACCGTTCATTCATAGTCCTTCAGTGAAACGTTTCAAGGACTTGTCAAGTAGACATCTCCAGTGAGCAATTCCACTGAATTGACTGAATTCCTCCAAACATCCCCGTCAAACATCTCTATCTACTGTCCATAAGTGGTTCCTACCCTTTTGGCACGAAGGGCCAGTTTTGTGGAAGACAGTTTTCCTTGGGAGGTGTGTGTACGCAGAGGGGTGGTGGTGGTGGAATGATTCAAAGAAACACGTTTCCCAAGCTAGATCGGGGTGAACCTATGGTGTGAGTGCGTGGCGGGCACACAGAGGCCCCAGCAGCACCCCAGCAGTGAGCACTGGGTAACAGCGCAGGGAGGGGCCATGTGCATGCTGGGAAAGGAGCAGGCGCCAGATGGGGATGTCCTAATGTTTGAGTGCTCTGTCTCTAAAAGGTTTGCCATCACTGACCTAGACCCTCAGTTTTGCTGCTGCTGATCTGACAGGATGTGGAGCTCAGACGGGATGTGATTATGGCGAGGGGATGTAAAGCTTTGCTTGCTTAGTCAGTGCTTGCTTCTGCTGCGCAGCCCGGTTTCTATAACACGTAAAGCTACTCTTATGCGGGGTTTACAGACCATGGAGGTAATTTAAAGCCAGAAAGGACTGTCATTTTTCTAGAAAGTCCAAGTAGGGTCAAACAGGAATGTTCTGATTTGCTTGCAGGAGTTAGGAATGAAATTTTATTTTCCTTCTCAGATTTTTGTAAAAAAAATTTCTTAAAATGTTCTACTGTTACAGTGAGATGAAGTTGTAGTGCGTATTTACTGGCTAGGTTCATGCTAAGAATTCACTCCTGGTTTTCATCACATGAGATACCAGAAACCATACTCAACTGAAGAAAGGAGAGTGGTTTTTAAAGGGAAGTTGTAACTGAAGGTAACAACTTTCAATTTCTTTTCCTTTATGCATAATAAAAGCAAGCAGATCTTTATCCATGCGGACATAAACTGAATGACTACAAGCAATCTAATTTCACAGTCAAGTCTGTGTGACGTGTTTCTCTGTAATTTGTACCTCTTTATGACTAACACAAGTGTTTTCTGAGTTGTGCATAATCTTTCTTTGGTCTGGAGGGACCCTGCGCCCGACTTTGAAATATATTTCCGTAAAAGGGCGTATAAATCACTGAAGTTCACTTTTTAACACGAGGTTTGCACAAAAAATACTTAAATATGAGAAGACAAGGTACCTTCTCTGATTCTTTAATCTGTTTCTTCGAATTCCAGGCAAAGCAAGCCTAAAGATCCCATGAGTAGAAAGCACAATCTATTAAACAAAAAAGTAGGGCGATGGTCACATACATACTCCCGCTTAGGAAAATTAATTTTGACTTTTATCTTTGAAAAATCGAGCATAATTGATATTTTATTTTCAGAAGATCTTGCTAACCAACCAAAGAGATAAAAATAGGTCCAGGTAGCCTCCTAGTCCATGATAGATAATATTTAAATAAAACCTACTCAATTTCTAAACACTTTCTATACTTTTTACTGCAAAAACAATTATAGTAGCATTGAAGAGATTTTTCAAAAAAAAAAACCCAAACACTCCAAAACTACTGATTTCAGTTTTGCATATTTCTGCCTTATCTTTATGTAGGTTAATATATTCATTTAGTTTCCAATTGTAAAGAGAAAAAATTGTCAAGAGACTGTAAAGAGAAAAACTCTAGAGCTAAACGCTGTTGCCATACACAAGTATCTTGCGACAGCCCTGGCGGCAGGGGAGAGACCCGAGGTAGTCCAGGCCTGTGGTCTTGCTGTGCTGCTCATGCCTGTCAGTATCTACCCCAAGCTCCCAAGTTACCATTTTTTCATTTATTAGTGATCCTAAGACTCAAAACATACCCTGGTTCTCCTCTGCTGCGTAACTATAACAGTAAAAGAGGGCAGAAGCAGGCTCTATCCTAGTGCCTAATGCAATGCTGGGGTATTTAGTCACTAAGCAAAAACAAAAAGGGAAAACTGATGTCCTTCTGTTGGCTACAAATCTGTCTCACCTCTTTAATAATCTCTTATGCTCCTGAGAGCACAGATTTGTGATAAAGAAAAAAATCACGATTGCCACATTTAACACTTGTACATTTTATTGAATTAAATCAGCCATTGTACAACATTGCAGCTATGTATTGTTAGTGTTGTATTTTTTCCATTAACTAATACATGCCCTCATAGAATATATTCAATTAGTGTTATCACCATGGGAACAAGATGCTGATTCATCAACTGAAAATTCACTTCTTCTCACAGTATTCAAGTTTTTGATAACACAGCAAAAATCAAAAATCAAAGGAAGGTGAATAACCATTATGTTGTTACACAGACATCATCTGCACTGCAAAGTACACAACAGAAATGCTTGTCTCGGGCTCCAAATGGAGGTTGGGACAGAAGGACCTCGGTGTGTGTCACAAAGGTCCACACGGGCCTCTCTCCTTTTGGCTGCCAAAGAACGCTCTATTTCCTATCCAACTGCCAAAAAGTGCTAGCATTTGAGGACTAGGAGATTTGGCTTACGAGAAACCTCCCTCCCAGAACATTTTTTCTCTTGGCAATGTTACTTTAAATTGTTTGTCGATTGGTTTTTGACATTCGGAGCAATGAGTCATTTTTTGCACAACAGGAAAAGACCAGATAGAATTGGAAAAAGTTCAATCCCTGGAGGATAGACTCTTTTTTTTTTTTTTTTTTTTTCTAATTCATCTTCTTGAATATACTTTTCTTTAACAAATAACTGGTTCAAAATGTATACTGTTTATATGAATATATTTGTGAATATATATAATATATGTTAAAATGCTACACAGCTTCGACCACTAGAGATATAAGAAATAGGACGTGGAAATCACTCAGATTGTTCCAGTCCCTTCTTTGAAACAAACAAACAGAAAAGTGCACAAAAGCACTTAAGAGTTTCCAAGGGAGTTGGATTTCAAATAAATAAACCAAAACTTTTAACCAAAACCAAACTTTCAAAGGATTTCTCAACCTTGTCTGCAAGCAGAAAAACAGATCTAGCTGGAGGGTGAAAAGTTTTCACTCAGGGCAAAAAGAATGAAAACCATTGCTGTGATGGGAAGAGGGGTTTGGACTGTGGTTTTAATTTTTAAAGGCTACATGCAGGTACTGGAGAAGATATAAAGATGGGGGGTATAAAAACAAAAGAAACCACTCTGACAGGGTGAAAGAATTCAACCTTTTTTTTTTTTGTAGTGGGTAAATCTTGTTTCCAATGAATTTATCTACAGTGCAGTGGCCGGAAGAAAATACCACCAGTAAGACAGCGTGGCTTGCTAAAGCAGCGAGGGAAACTGGAAAACTACAGTAGTTATAACTTTTAAAATACCCTGCCAACATGTCCAAAATTGAAAAGACCTGAAGATGCTAGAATGCCACAGGAGTAGCTTCTTGCAACTAAATACCTCATTGTCTCAATCTGTTTGCCTTCTGCTCCCTTCTCCCCGTCCCCAGAGAGAGTCCTAGATGAGGGCTGGCCAGCACCAGCAGTAGCTTCGTAGCGAGTTCTTCAGGATTATTGATTCCTCTTTAAACAAGAGCAATGGCAACTCTGGAAGTCCTAAGGATGTGGTAGTTCCGCAGTGCTTCTTTCGCATAGAACTGTGTTGTTTAATCGTTTGATTGTGTTAGCAATATCTTTATTAACCACTGTTCAGCAATTTCTAGAGAATGTTTATTCCGTGGTGCCTGGCGTGGTTGTGGTAGGCAGTGGTTTTGATTTGAACATGTCGTCCATCTGAGCATTTCAGCTATATACATTGTACATGGATATCCTGAGGAAGGAATCCTCTGGGTCGTCACTGAAAGAGGTCTGCAGGTGAAGTTCTTCCAATCAACGCATTTCCAAGGAGCTTGAGCAGAAGCAAACAACAGAGGGGGCCAGTTCCCAGGATCCCATAGACACACCAAGGAGCAGATACAGCATCCACAACACAGGATGCTATCTTTGGTCACAAATTAGCTTATCTTTAGAGAGAATGGGGACAACAAAATGCTGTATATTTGCTAACAGTAGAAATATCAGGGGATCCCATCAGTTGGGCCAGTGAGATCACTCCTCTAAGGAAATGGGAAGTTGCACACTGGCAACGGGCGTGGGATGGGCAGCCCCTCATGTGGCCTCTCTCTTCAAGTCCTCCTGGTGGAAATGCTGGAGGAGTTGCTGGAGGTCACGCTGGAGGTCATCCTGGCCTAGTGCTTCTGGCACATCCTCCAGGTGCTCCAGCTCAACACGTTTCCCATGCCGGTCCTTCACCACAGCCCTCTTCTGTGTCCTGGCTTTACTCATTGTTGTCCTAGAAGAGAGTGGACGGGGAGAATTATGAACAGGCAGAATTATGTTTTCTTGACTGCTAAATAACAGCCTCTTGGGGTGAGGTTAACTGTGACTTTAAAGTCCTTCCTGTCTTGCTTCTAGATTTTCTACCCCAAGCTAACAATACAATAGCCACAGCATCTTTCCGTCTCTTTCTTATGATTACCATGACTGAACTAGCTCATGACACTGTGAGAGTGTATTCTGGAGCTGGGTGTGGTGGCACATGCTTGTATGGCCAGCACGCTGGGAGGGTGAGGCAGGAGGACTGCAAGTCTGAGCCCAGCCAGGGCAATTTAGTGAATCAGTGAGACTATCTCAAAATAAAAAATGCCTGAGGATATAGCTCAGCGCAAAGGCCCTGGTTCAATCTTCAGTACTTCCCCCCACAAAATGTATGTTGGAACAAGGAATATTTTTTAAAAATCTTTAAGAAATGTTTCAAATAAGTAAAACCACACTTTAATATGTTTCTCTCAAAAGAACCTGCATAAGCATTCATGTCTTGATCTACAAAACCCTGATTTACCCTGAAAGAGTGATTCCACCAGCCCCTTTCAACAGTGAAGAGAAAGTTTTTAATTTAATTTACTCAAAGCCACTTTAGCTGCCCACTTAATCCTTTGAGTCCTCTCCTGACCCAAACTTCCCGGAGTGATGCTCTGAGAGAACTTCTCTAGGAGACACGATCTCTATAAAGTGAAATACTATTCTACCATAGATAAGAAAGTGATGATGCCCAAGAGGCTCCTAAAGCTTCATCTGGATGGTGAGGAGGAAAAGGAAACAGAAGAAGAGCCCTGAGAGACAAATGCATCCTTTGTATTCTAGGGCTTTCCACACTTTGCTCATTCTGGGGATCCTGCCTGCCCTTTGAATCAGACTGGTGATTCCCTGAGAAAAGATGCTGTAACTTTACTGATTAGTTTTTGTTTTTGGAGACAGGAGTTCAGGTCAGACTTGAACTCACTATGTAGTCCAGGTTGGCCCTAAACTCATGGTGATCCTCCTGCCTCAGCCTCTTGCACACTGGGATTACAGGCGTGCACCACCACACCTGGCAAGATGCTCTCACTTACTGCTATATTTCACACTATTAATTTCCTGTAGCCCTACTTAAAAATGATCATATCCTAGTTTGTGCACTCTTAGTTCTTCTCACTATCTACTTGTAAATATAATTATTTATTCCACAAACATTTGATGAATGTATTGTATTTGCCAGGCACAATTATCACAACAAATGAGGAAACTCAATCTTATGAGAATGTAAGCAATATCATCTACATAAAAATGCAGCATGCAGTGGTGCCAAGAATCTGAGAGAGACCGTAAGCACAGTGTCCTGCATCTTCCCTGAAACTGGGGTGGGACAGGACCAGTGTCTGGAGCTTGGCCCAGCATTTCTTTTATGGATTCCTAGCGTCCAGAAGCTAGAAGCTCTGCCTACCGCCCAGCACCTCTAAGCTCTCGCTAAGGTCATCCCAAGTCTTACAGAAAGGGCTTGCGTCAATCTGAGGGCTCCCAGCTTTGGGTCCTTCTCCCCTCTCTCCTGTTCTCCCACTCTTCCTCCATATAACATGAACTACTTTGCATTTGAAGGTGAATTAACTTTGTCCCTCTCAGTGAAATGGTTAAATATGATTGCAGTGGTGGAATTCAGGTTACATTTCTCTACCTGTGCAGCACTCATTATTTTTCTCCTAACAAGGCAGATGTCTATTTCTGCCAAGAGCTAGGAGAAGCCTTATAGCACTGGTGTCAGGGGACTGGCCTCCAACATAGGGCACTTCTTGTATTTTCTGCAGGTGTACAAAGTGGCATTGAAAAATACAATGCATATTTAAATTTCAAAAATGTAATACAGTGTAACACACGCTGCCATTAAGCTCCCTCAGAATATTCCTCCTCATTTCAGACGCAGTCTGTTGTTCTTGCCAGTTTCTGAAGCAGTTCTGGAAGCCCTCTTTCCTGAGTGGCGTTAGTTGCATTGTCATGGCTGCCTTGATGTCCTGAATTGATTCTGAACATTTCCCTTCGATAGACATTGTGACTTCAGAGAAGAACCAGAAGCTGCACAATGTTAGATCCAGTGAATAAGGTAAACGAGCACACACCGCCATGTTCTCACAAGCCCGTGTTTCTGTTGGATGGCGCGTGGCAGCAGCATTCACAGAATTTTTGATCACACCTCACAGAGACACTCACGAAAGAGAATTTCCAGAACTGCTTCGGAAAGTGGTATGAATTATGGGATAAGTGTGTTTGAAGTGAGGGGGAGTATATTGAGGGGAAATAAGAGTGATGTGTCTTTTCCAGGAATAATTTTTAAAATTTAAATATTCACCATACATTTTGATCACCCCTTGTATGCAGATGGGTGCTTATGGATGTGAAGATGTACATGACAAAATGCCTTTGGGGATGCATAAGTTTCAGCGTGGCACATCACAGAGTTCCCAGACAGACTGGTTGTGGGAACTCCAACTGTCTATATTCCCAGCTTCAAATTCAATAGCTGTAACAAGGAACTTCACATTAATTGGTCTCCAAATTTATTTTACTCCGAATTGATCCTGTGATGTGAGGGCACACAGGGGTTGTGTGCACAGTTTTTCACCTGAAAAACTAGAAATAAGACTTAAAAGCTCAGAATAGAGAAAGCACTTTACATTCAATTCATGTCACATTTTTAAAGTTCTAAGACAGCAATTATACTCTTAAATCCCTAGCTGCTGCTGTTTTTCACATTTGATTAGAGGGTGAAATGTGACAGAACCTGTAATTTTGCTGTCTTAATTATTATGTTCCAGAGGCTTAAAGTAGCCAGTAGAATACATAAATGCCAATCTTTTTCTTCTTTTCAATGAGGGGAAAACCACAATAGTAACTTGGATTCCCATTGTGTCTTTTCACCAAGAAGCTAAGAACATCTTATGGAATTGCTAGAAGACCAGAGGAAAGCAGACCTTGGGCATGATCCCTACTGGCATCTCAAACCATGACAGAGGCAGGGGCAGTTCAAAGCACCTCGCTGCCTGCCCTCTTCTGTATGGAGAAAAAGAGCTGCCTCCTGCTTCCCACTTTTTTTTTATGCTTTCTTATTTTATTAAAGCTCCTGGCTTCGTAATCCCTGTGTACATTGGGGTCCCTGGGCATCAAAACCGTGCTCATGCTACTTGCCACTCACATGCAGTCATGAAACAGCTCGTGAGAAACGAAAAGCATGTACCACACAAAGGAATGATTTTGGAGGGAGTTGAATGTAGCTGGTCACAAAGTTAATTCATGAGCAACAGATCAGATTCCCCCTTCCCTGCTCTTTCAATTTGCCAACACCGTGGGTCTCCAGCTGGTGGGCTTCCCCTGTACTAGGGACTTGGGAAGACTGTGTGGGCTGTCATTTCACTGTCATTGTGCCTTAGCATTCCTTAGGACAGTGCAGGTATGACACACCAACAAAGCTACCACCGGATGCAAACCTTATGGTACAGGGCAGTTAGCAGTTTCTGAGGGGTTTTACATGTGTCAGGGCTCTGTCTTTCTGTTCTTAGAATAGCAAACATTTTATGGTGTTAGTTGGCAGCGCATCACCCCATGCTACCCCAAACCTTTTAATTACGGATCCATCCTCTTTCAGGATTTCCTTCTCTACTAAACTGGGGAGGTGGACTTTCATGTGGCTACCTGTGTAACTTAAAGCCTGAGGTAAGAAAAAAAGAAAAGATAACACTCATCACAATCCACAGACTTCAAAGCAACCTACCACTTTACTAATTCAGAGCCAAACTGAGAAGGTATCTGTGAAAAGATAAATAAAAAGAACTCCCTGTAGCAGATGTGGGTATTGAGTTATATTAACAAGTCCCTTAAAATTTCCCACTTGCAAGGGAGATTGCTTATATTACTTTACTAAGCTGCTAACTGACATCCACACCAACTGACTTTTAAGTTCCTCGGTTGTAGTGTACTCCTTCCTATCCTGGGCTCTCTAATGCTAAATACATTGACTGGGAATAAGAACAAATCAGGTCCAGTGGACAGCTCAGAGAATTCACCTTCTAAACATTCAAGGCTGCTAACTGTCGAGAGTGAAGGACTGAAAGTATTCAAATAGGATTCGCTTGTAATATCCAAGTACATTCATATATAATCTCAATATATGTTGTGAGTCTAGTAGAGGGTACACCTATGGCATTTGACTCTGAAATGTTCCAGTGGCAAAAAACTATTTTGCAGGTGTTCACACATGTCTGTTCCCAAAACTCTTGGGAACCGAGGGGGTGCAGAATTTAGATTTTAGAAATAGACTGGATATCCTAACATCCCAGAGAAGGTGGAAACCACACCCTGTAATCAAACTCAATTCATATCAGACAGGAAAACATACGTAATTTCACTTGAAGTAAGACAAGAAGACTTCATCCCAGTTCATATAAAATTTCTGTCAAGTTCCATGCCAGTTTATGCCAAGCCAAATTAGCTTAGAAAATTTGTTGTGGTTTTTAGAATTTTAGGATTCTAGAACCATAGTAGGGGTCTGTAAATATGCTATTATGAGCCCATTTCTGAGTTGTTGAGAACCAGAACTTAATAACTGCACATCACTTTAAAATATACAAATATAGCAAACATGGAAATTTTTAAACTATCATGGCAATATTGATAGGATCAGCTAGGCAGGATAATTTATACCATCTTTATTTTTTCTCATATTAATTGGGAGCACAGAACACTTCTGGGACTTTTAAATAAGATGTAGGATCATGTCCTGACTCCAGAGATTCTGATCTTAACTCAGCAGAAGTGAATCCTGATTGTGTGGATATTTAAAGGCACTTAGGGTGACACAAACCAACACCACAGTTTGAGGAAACATTATTTCACCGTATAGACACTTCTATAAATTTGTATATGAAATGACACAATGACAAATGATTTTCAAACTCAAAAGCAAATATAAAATACAAGTCAAAAGCAAAGAAGACAAAACGATGCTTCTCTACCTCTTCAAAGTCATCTTTGGCTGAAGGAAGGTCAGGGGCTAAACTAGAGTCCCCCAGGTGTTTTTCCATCCTCTCTCCACGGACCATAGTGGTTTTAACAACTTTGCTGACTCTACGGCCTTCTACTGGTTCAGCCTGAAATTGTGAGGCACTGGACAGAATGCTGGGTTCAGACAGAGTTACCTAATAGATGAACGACACACAATGTAGTTTCTGACGGCCAAAATGTAACAGATGCTGAACTTTTCTATGCTAAAAAAACGATTACAATATTATCTAGTGGACTTCAAAAAAACAATATTTTGGAGCAATGAAGCAGAGTTACAATAAAATACAAGTAATCAATTAGTGGTGTCTATTTAATGCATAGATCTCTACAGCACCTAATCAACCAGTCACTTGAATAAAAATCTATCAGTCATTTTGTAAACACTGACATCCCAGGGCAGTGTACACCGGGTGATCTGTGGCTGAACTCTTTTTCCATGTGTAAATGGTTTCATTTGCAGTATGAAGGCAAAGTTAATCCCAAAGGAGGGACTCAAAAGGCTATGAGAAATTGGAAAGTAGATTTCTAGAGGATCTAGTGTCTTTAAAAATAAGATTTTGAGTCTGTAAGTGAATACAAAATAGCGAGAATTTCACAAATTATATTTTTAAAAAGCAAGCATGTTCCTGAAACTGGGAAATAAAATAGAAAGAAATAAAACTACGAGTCAAAGAGTTTCTGGGTCCTGACTTCAGGGACCCCCAGAGGCAGTGGTCTGAGCATCAGGTACTGCTCTAATGACTTCAGAGCTTGGTGTTCCAACCAGGCGGAAGCACCAAAATCTCTTCCTAACATACACCCACCCAGCAAGTGGGATTTTATTCCTTAAAAATTTGACTTTTGGATTTTTGCTGTGGTCAAGCATCTATTAAACAGAAAATGGTGAGGATAATGGCTATGACGTTTCCTGATGGTTATTTTCAAATTACACAAAATTATGAAAATACAAACAAATGGGTAACTATGAACAGACTACAAGGCCCATGGGAACACAGTCTCTTCCAACTTGCTAAGTTCTCTTCTGAAGTAAGAAGACATGGAGGTTGGGCAGCCTCACCTCTGACTGTTTGGTGTCACTCTTCAACACGACGCGCTTTATCACTTTGGAATAACCATCTCCCTCCTCGATGGTCACAGGCTCCTGTGGCATTCCTTGCATCGTAATCTCTTCTTTCTCTGTGCCATCAGAGGCCACGTACCGCCTAATGATTTTCCTAGTAACCTGAAACACATTCATGTATGCATGCAGGTATTACGTTGTTGAGTCACAATACACGGATACTGATTCATTTCAAACATGAAGTTGGAAAGCAGCCATGAAAGGAGACACCAGACAGTACCTTCTTCACCACGGTGTGTCCATGCTCATCCACATATTCTTCTTCAGTGACACTTTCTGGGGGTATATCAGGCATGTCATCTCCCTAAACAGTTGGGACAAAAGGGTCACATCAGGACTTGGCACCAATTCTAGGAATTACTCCCAAGTGCTTATCATGGAGGAATGTTAGGAAAACCAAAGGCAATGTGGAGAGGCACTGTTGAGATGCAAAATCCTGTCAAGTAGTCTAATAAAAGGAAGCAGGTGGTGGTAACATGCATAGGAGAAGGTGGCCAAAAATTAGGTAAGATTAAAACAAACCAACAAACAAGGAAAACAGATAAGCAAAGGTGAGTTAGGTGGAACTTATAAAGCCAATCCTCTTCTTGCTTATTGGTACCGTCTTGGTTGTAGGCTGCAACCGCCATTACCACCACATCTCTTTATAAACAAAAGAGGAAAGTTAAGGGATTTGCTTCCTAGTGGCCATGCACTGCCTCAGGAGCATGCCAAGCCCTTACTGCCCCAGGTCAGTCACTCTCTGAAGGTAGGAGGACAGAGCTGTCCCTAGCGTGCAGTAATTCAGCAGCTGGTACCTGGATGATCACTCGCCGGCGGACAACCCTGGTGGTTACCATCGCCTCCTCATCGGAGCTGGCCTCCAGCTCCCCTAATTCCTCTGTTAGCTCCTAAGGAAGCATGGAAGCATGATTCTGTTTAACATGCTAAGGAAGAACTTCTCTACTGCTTCTAGCTTTAGCATACATTGTGTTCTCAAAGTTCTATTCATGAAAGCTCTGGAGGAAACATCAGTGGGGCTGAAAATAAGGGTGTGGTGGTCTGAAACTTCAACAAGAATTCAGTTGTTTGGTTCAATGAATGAAAAAAATATACAATTCTGAAAGATATCAGAGAACCTGTCAAAATTCATCCAAAGAAATGGCTTGTTCACACAAACTCCTAGTACTCAAATTTCTAATAAGTAAGTGAATGTAAATACAGCAAAATGTGTAGATGTGGGCTGTTAACATTATTGTTCAGGCTTGGAATTTTAATGCATCTGCACAGGAATATCTCATACCTGTCACAGAACTTTATACAGGAGATCAAAATTCCCTGTCAATATTGCATAGTCAGTAGTACATCTCCTGAGCATCAAAAAAAGGAGGCCATGAATAATATTAGCCTCATTTTGCAGAGAAGTTGAAAGGTGAAAACAAGGGCTGGGATTTGGCTCAGTGGCACAAATACCTGCCTGGCAAGCACAAGGTCCTGAGTTCGATTCCCGGTACCAAAAAAAAAAAAAAAAGAAAAAGAAAAAGAAAAAGAAAAAGAAAGGTGAAAACAACCAGATTCAATAGGTTTGGCCTAAATCCAGACATGAGTCTAAGAACACAATTTTAGATTATAACACGTCTCAGGAATCACATATACACAATCACTTTCTCCTCATGGAATGATATTTCTTAAAAAGAGAAAGGCTAAGTTCAAGTTAATTTACCTAACATATTTTGAAATACACAGTTTGCACATAGTTCTACATTCCCCTTTGTTAAAGAAAGACATCTAACTCTAAACTGAATTATACTTTAAATCGAGAACCTACTGCCTAGAAATAGGGTCAGCAACAAAAGTAATTGAAATTGGATGCCTCAGTTAAGTTCACAAGAAGCTAAGGGTCAAATGTAGAGCTGATGAGAGATTACTGGAAGTTCATCAAGAATAAGCACAACAGGGCCGGGGATATAGCTCAGTGGCATAAGTGCCTGCCTGGCAAGTGCAAGGTCATGAGTTCGATTCCTAGTACCAAAAAAAAAAAAAAGAATAAGCACAATAGGCCTATATTAAATATGTAGAATATAGAATGACATCAAAACATTTATATGCAAAGAACAGGTTAATATATATACTAATTTATATATATACACACACACACACACACACACTAATTTTAAGTCTGTATTTTACTCAGCCTGTGGATTCTTGGGCTAAATTTGGCAACTTTCCAGCCCAGACAGCAAGTATGAATCATTTTTGCTAGTATTCATTTAAGTCAAGAATTTGAGATAAATAATTCTGTGGAAAGACAAACTTGGAATAAGAATTCATTCATGGGATGAATTCACTCTTTAAGGTAACTGCCAAAATCAGGACACAGTTCTCATCTGCCTGAATCTTTCTGAATTTGGTTGTGATTTTAGAGAAATGCTGGTAGCAGATGTTACCCTCATAGTAAATAGAAGCAAAAGTAGATCTTACCCCTAAGGATGCATTGTATTACTTCTGTCCCCCAAAATATTCTGATTCTTTCATATAACAAATCTATTACTACTAAACTTTGTATTAATGTTTTTTATAAATACCTTTAAATACAAATACAAAATGCTTTTGAACTCTGTTACTTTTTAAAAAGGAAAATAATGCCTACTTCAATTTATACTAAGTCTAATTCGAACAGATCCCATCCATCTTTCTATATGAGAATAATCTGGGGAGTATTTAAAGTGCTGAGTTTTGCACCCTCTCTATCCTTTGAGGTTCCCTCTGATTTTCAAGTTTTGAAGAAGGATCAAGCTCCTCAATTAATCCTGAGGTATGTTAACTACATGGACCAACTGTTTGTTTAAATACATTTCTTAAAATGGTCCAACCTCTCTTTATTTATTTATTTATGAATTTTTAAATTTATTTATGTATTTATTTATTGTCTTTTTGAGACAGGGTCTTGCTGTGCAGTTCAGGCTGGCCTTGAGCTTACTTTGTAGCCCATGCTAGCCTTGAACTCACAACAATCCTCCTGCCTCAGCCTCCCGAGTGCTGGGATTACAGGCATGTGCCATACCTTTAAAATGCTCTTAGTGATGCAATCTGTAATGCAATCTCATGTCACTGTCAGGCATTTGGTAATTTTGAAATAGCAATAAGGTTAGGCATAATGGTCCTTTTACACTTTATTGCTAAATAAAATAAATATGAAGAAATCTAATTTGGAAATTATCCTTCCTCCAGGGAGGAAGGTTTGTTGAGGAGGGAGCCCCACCAGATAGCCACTGTTTATGAACTCCTCAGAGACCTACAAGGTGGGTATTTAAATCTAAACACATTTATTATAGCAAAATACACAGTGTCTTTGGTGCTGCCTTAAAATCCTCCCCGTCACTTTGAACACACTTATCCAGTCCTTCTTGCCACTTCCTGAAGCAGTCCTGGAAGTCCTTTTCATGACAGTCTTTAGCTGCATTGTTGTGGCTGCCTCGATGTCCTGAACTGATTCAGAATGGTGACCTTTCAGGGTCATTTTAACTTTAGGGAAGCATCACAGTCACACAGCACTGGATCCAGTGAATAAAGTCAGTGAAGAGCCATGGTAATTTTTTTTACAAGCCTACTGTTATGGTTGATACATAGCGTCAACTTGAGAAATCTAGAAGTCTAACTAAACAATTCAGCAGTTCTACATCCTGGGGTGAAAAGGACATGCCCTTCCTGCTCTAGGATGTTGTTCATTGTGTCAACTTGAGAAGTTTAGAAGGGATTCATTATTAATTAATTAGAAGGGATTAACTGTGTGACTCAGCAGGGAGCCAGGGTTCTTATTTTGTATTCATCCTGAGCCTGTGCAAGAGGGGGTGGATAGCAACATACAATATAAAGGAGGAAAAGAGGCTTGCTTTTCCCCCTTTTTGCTCTTGCTGCTTTTGTAGTCTTTTGCCACCTTGAAGTGTTGCCCTTGTGCCCTGCCACCCTGCCTTGGAGCCAGCTGATTATACACTGAAACCTCCACAAACTGTGAGCTAAATAAACCTTCCCTTCCTTAACTTTGGGCGTTGGGTATTTTGTCTCAGCAATGAGAGGTAAGTAATCAAGACACCTGCCTTTCCATTGAATGGTACTCAACAATGGCATTTATCATTGCTTTGACCATGTAAAGACACTCACAGGAGCTGGGGATTTAGCTCAGCGGCAAAGCGCCTGCCTGGCAAGTGCAAGGTCGTGAGTTCGGTTCCTGGTACCGGAGAAAAACCAAAAAAAAAAAAAAAAAAAAAAAAAAAAAAAAAAAAAAAAAAGACACTCACAAAAGAGCACTCCCAGAACTGCTTCAGAAAGTGACAAGAACAGGGTAAGTATCAAAGTCAGGGGGAATATTTTTGAAGGGGATTAATAAAATGTGTCCTCTATTGTAATAAATTTTTGAGGCTGGATGTGGTGGTGCACACGTGTAACCCCAGCACTCAGGAGGCTGAGGAAAGAATATTGCTGCAAGTTTGAGGCCAGCTGGGGCTACAACGTGAGCTCAAGGCCAGCCTGAACTGCATAGCAAGACCCTGTCTCAAAAAGACAAAAAAAAAATGTGGGCAGGAAACAAGAGAGGCAGGAAAATCTCACCTTTTCAAAAGCTGCATCTCTGTCGAGTCCCTCAAAGGTGTGTGGCTGGTCCTCCCCCGACTCCACAATCACCAGGCTGGTTTTCCGAGGGGAACTCTCCTCCTTGGGCTCTGGGGGCTCTTCAGGTTCCTGCACAATGGGGGAGCCTCCCCGTTCGCTGGACACTGGGGTCTGGAGGTCCAGCCTGTCCTCCTCAGCAGGGGTCCTGATCTCCTCGGGGGTCTTGCTGGGAGAGCCTGGTGCTGCTGTGGCCTTCTGAGCCTCTGTCCTTTCTGTACCCGGGGTTGTCACACTAGAACAGAAAAGCCAAATTATACTTCATGGGCATTTGCATTTTTCCTGCTCTAGCAGGGAACTGGAAGGAAGATGAAGTTCATCATCACAATTTATGGTACTTATAGTTCAAATTAGCCAATGGGGAGACTGGAAAAATGTAACAGTGATACATAGTACAGCATTACAGCTCATTGGTGGGGCGTTGTATTAACTGTAATGTCTTCTAAAGATGGAAATTATCCTAAAATGGATTAGTTTCCAAACTTGTACAAAGCACTTAAGCTATTTTGTGTTTTCTTTAATAACTCTACCTAATATATTGAGGATTTGGGGAGTTTTACATAACAAAGATTTATAGACAGTGCTTTTGAACTAAGAATTAAAATTTGGCAGAGTTAAATAAATCCCTGCATGAATGTAGTAATCACAATTGTAAATGTAAAGAGATTTTCACAGTACCTCTGGAAAACCATTATTTAATAGAGGGGTCTGTTACAGTGAAATTTTTTATTGATATAGCTTGGAGTTGCTCCAATGCAACTTGCATAATCTGAATTCCTAAGTAAGGAATTCTTTGCCTTTTCAGCTCTTTCTTTTTAACTGTAATTTTCTGTTAGAGCGTTGATATTAAACACCTAAAGGGCCTTTCTGATAGCACTTTCTTTGCTTCTCATCTTTTGCTTTTTCTTTCTTTTGCTTCTTTTTTCTGCTCTCCCTGAAGCCCACAGATAGATATGGACAGGGTGGCTCCGGTGAAGAGATCGTGTCAGTGCCCATTTCAGCCTCTTCTCAGGGTCCAGTGACCACAGAACAAAGCTCACTTGACGGCCAAGGAGATGCTGAAGTGCAATCTCATTCCTGCTATTCTCAGATTTCAGAGTTAGGGACACCTTTGCCTGTCTCGTGATCTGTTTTTCTTCTGGACAACCAGTGTAATTGAAGCAACTCTTTCTCCTTTGCTCCCAGAAAACCTAGAGCAAGTAAATGTCTCTTTACTCTCAGTCTAACCCCATCCCACTCCATTTTAATGCCTTTTTGTCCTGCAGGTATAATTTTGTTGGGTTTCTATTTTCACAGCCGGCTACCTGGTAGCTTTGTTGGAATATACTGGGCCACCACACCTACACCATCGCTGTTTCTACTCCAAACCAGCTATAGATCAATGAATATTTGAAGCATTTGCACTGAAATGAGTATCTGAAGACACAGAGAGCAAAGAAGGTACAGCAATCCTAACATTGTGTTGTCTACGGGAAATTTCACAGTTCCAACAATGGATCTGCAGGCATATTTTGACCTTTACTTTATGCAGTGAGTAAAGTACATAATTATCAGAACTGTAGATGGGTAAGTGGAGACTCAAAGCATCTAAGGACTGTCCAGGGTCACAGGACTGAGGATCACTGGCCTGGACCACATGACACTGTCACCATCACATCTCTCAATGTATTACAGGAAATGCACCACGCTCTTTTCCCCTGTAGCTGTCATTTGCTATAGGTGGGGTCATTTTTAGGTTATTTAAAACTGGCCTTGCCGGTATGTGCTTGGCCCTCTGGGCTGCTTCCTGGGAATCACATTTGGAACTCACAAGTATTCCTGCTGATCATCAAGCAGGTCCTGCGTTTTCCCTGAGAAATCTTGTTGAACTTGCTCCTGGTGCATCTGGGGAGAAAGTGCCGCTGCGGAGCTGTCTCCCTCAGTTTTGGGGATACAGTCCTGGAAAGTGGAGTAACCCACAGAAATGTCTTCCTCGGAGACGATGGGAGGGTGATCGGCAGCCTCGCCCTCTTTGGAAGCCACTTGCTCCTCCTGCTGCTGCTTGTGCTGCGTGGTGCACAGCTCCTCCTGCAGTACTGAGAACCCTATGGGAGGACAGCGACTTCAATTGAGTTTTCAATGGAAGCTCACCTATGTCACATGCATGTTTAGTAAGTAACTGTCCTGTGCCATGTCCTGAGATGGGCCCATGGGTTAGAAATATGAAGACACCACACTTCCCTTCAGGATGCTGGTCCCTGAGATAGGAGGAGACAGTTCAGATGCAGGATGATGGGGCTGCAGGCACCTGAGAGTGGACTTGGGACATCATCCCCAGCATTTAAGAATTTGGAAAGGAACTACACAGGGTGCAATGTCTCAGGAGACCTAAAGATAGCTAGGCACCTCCTGTGATGGCCATGGTATCACATACAATCAAGAATACTAATGAATACCTAAGAAATTCTGAATAATTACTGCACGCCTTGTGAGTACTAATGTGTTCAATACTCATCACAAAACCTTGCGGCCAATTATCTTTTTATGTAGTTTCTTATGCCAGGCTAAGAAATCTCACTATATCCTGGGCAATGAGGAGTCACTGAAGGATTTTAGCAGAGGAGTGAATGACATTCATCTATCTATTTAGTTACTGAACAGATATATATTATACACAACTACGCAGTTGGTGCTATTTAGATGCTGGATAAGTAGCAATGAACAAAACAAAAAACTTTTCTCTTTACTGAACTTCTGTTTCCATAGATAAATGTTTATGATAATTGTTGGGAGACAAAGCAACCAGGCTAGTATTTCAGATAGATCATCCAGAAAGGCTTCCCTTAAGAGGTGATATCTGAGTAGTGACCTAAAGAAATTGGGAGAAAAATGTTCAACGGATCTAAGCGAAGAAAATTCCAGGGCAGAAGGGATAGAGGCACCAGGATCTTGATGCAGCAAAGTGCAGGGAAGGGAAGGGAGGCCCACTTTTTGAGCCTAGAGGGAGGGAGCAACGGAGGAGGGAGATGGCTGTGAGCTGTACTGCGTCTGCTGCACTCTAACGCACGATGTCACTCAGACCTGTGAGAAGTAAGAGGCTGCTGAAAAGAGATTGAAGAGCACAGCCAATAAAGCAGAAAGAAAAGGAAATGGGAGGGTTCTGCCAGTAAAGAAATAAAACGTTTAAGAAGAAGGGATTATCTCTTCAAGTGTTTTGAGTAATCTTAAGATGTAAAATTGCCCTTTGAATTTGGTAACAAGGAAACAGGTGGTGAACTGCACCACATGGACCGAAGTACGTTACAGAGCTAGATCTGGAGAGAACAAAAAGACAGAAGTACAGCAGGAAACCCAAGCTACTCTTCTGAAGAGGCTTCCTATAAAATGGATGGAGGGGCAGAGCAGAAACTCGGGGAATAGAAACCGGAAGAGGTTATTTTGCCATATTTTGTCTTGAAAGATGGAACCCATTAAAGCGCTACTGGGTCTGCTCCAGTTAGTTGTAGGACACTTGAGTGGATACTTGCAGGAGTGAGGTCCTTGGTTAAAAGAGGATGAAATCCAGGACAAAAGAAATGAATGGCTTTGGCAAAGCAAGGACATTCAATCCACTGTAAGAGGAGGGAAGGTAGCGTTTAGGCCCTGGGATGCACTTACGTGGGTAGATTTTGTGGTAGGAAAATATGGGCTTTTACTTGTAATTCTAAGAAACATGAAGGATGGTTGTATATGAATATGAATAAAGAGAAATGTTGGAAGTTTGCAGGGAGGAGAAAAGGTGCAAAATAGAGATGAGAGAGAGTGAGCATGCAATGGGAATCTATGAAAAAAACTTTAATACTGAAAAGGAGAGACTGGAGAACACAGCAAGCCTGAAGAATTGTTGGTGGAGAAATAAGAGAACGTGTAATACTTCAATTAGTGCACTGCTTAGAAGTAGTGTAGTAATTGCAATGATACAGTCTTGGTTGTGAGTGCAGATGTCAGCGACTAACATAGAAGGAACATTAAAAGTGTCATAAGCACCATCGAGGAACTGAGAAAAAGGAACTGGACGGTTCTCTCACACTGGTGGTGAAATAACAGAGAAGAATAGTAGGGACATCTACAAAACAGGCGGGAAGCAAATTCAAGGCAGCAAGCAAACAAATGATGATCACCAAAGACCACGATCTACCTTCTAAAAACAGATGGTTGGTCCAGTGCCCAAAAGAACTCCAAGCTCAGGCACACACACACACACACACACACACACACACACACGAGTTTGACCTTCACTATGGTCCAGCGTAATGGTCTGCTCGATTTCTGCATAGCTGTGGCTGATGCGCTCCTGGAGCGGCTCTGTGCTAGTCTCCATGAGGTGGACAATGTCCATTCGGTTGATCTTGGTGAGGCATTCGATGAGGCTGGTATCTGAGGCATCAGAGACAGAGCACTGGTTATAGTGGAGAAATGCTCTTGTGGGAAATCTTCCATTCAGCTACTGCACTAAATTTGTGATAGCTGTATAGGAAGTAGCCAAAGCCTTACTAAGGGTGTTTATCAAAAAAGAAGCCAAAAATACAGAGAGAGAAGCACAAAAGAACGGTACACAGTAGGCACAAACCCTAAAAATAGAGGTGCCGGATAACATGTAGGGCGTCCAGTCAAATCTGGATTTCAGACAAAAAAACAATACTTTCGTTCATATAAGTATATCCCAAATATTGCATGGGATGTACTTATGCTAAAAAAGTATAGGTTGACTACCTGGAATTTAAATTTAACTATGTGCCTTTCTTCTGCTTATATTTGCTAAATGCGACACTGCTACTAAATAAAATACAGAGAGAAGGAATAGAAAGTATAGAGGTCTGAAGGTGGCTCTTCAGGGTGATGCTACAGGAGGTAGGGAATTTAAACCAGCTGAGGGACAAGCAGCAGCTGTGGTCATCTCAATTTGTATTATATTCCATACGGTCAGAGTCTCACACCCACTGAAACTCTACTTGATATTTTCCCACCGCTTAAGGTATTAAGGAGTAGAGAAAACAGCAACTGTGGGTAAGACTGTACCAATAAAACAAAGATAAAGCCAGCCATCATGGTTCATGCTTGTAATCCCAGCACTCTGGGAGGCTGGGGCAGGAGGATCACAAATTTGAGCCCAGCCTGGGAAATTTAACAACTTAGCAAGACTCTGAATCAAAATGAAAAGGATTGGGATGTAGCTCAGTGTTCAACTACTAGTAATACAAAAGGGGGACGGGGTGGAAAGAAACAGCACTTATGTCCATCAGTCAATATGAAGAAAAACTTAAGACCTGAATAACATTTGTGTTGGTAACTAGTGCTAGCATCATTTCCCACTGGGTAACACGGTCCACAGGCACACAGTGCAAGACTTTACACACATTTATTCTAGAAACGGCAGCAGCTTGTTCTCATTCCATGATGGGAGCACTTCCAATTGACGGCATTTTTTAGTTTACTGTCTTGTCCAATTTGCAAGAGTGGGGTGGTTGAACAAAGTAACAGTTTCTCCCTTTAGCTTAATACCTCTGCTCAGAGTTCTGTACCCACCTGTAGCATGTTTCCCATCCCTCTCCAGCCAGTACTTCAACAGTGCATGGCTCTGGTCTTGAAGGGAATTGGGATTCTCAATTCGAATTTGATGGATTTGCTCCTCAGTGAAGTCCAGTTCCCTTGCTAACTCTAAAAGAGAAAATACTACTTTGTAAACACATTGCCTTTAAAGATTTGAGTCTTTACACCCTGCCTGTGCTTTTATAAGTGAAGCGTTCTTGCACTGCTGTGTTTGAGTTCTTTTGTTTTCTTTCCACACATCAGAAGTCACTCACACATGTCTTTATTCTTCTACTACTAATTATTGCTCTTTCACTTAATATTAGGTATAGGATTGATTATTGAACCTGTCTCTTAAAACTGGGTATAGGACTGATTACTGCCATAGTAGAAATAGCAAATATGAAGCTGTGATGATAAAATATGCATAATTCAGGTCCACTAGATTCCCAAATACCATAAATACTTGCTTAAACTCTTACCAAAATAGTGGAAAATAACTGACTGAAAACAGAAGAAATACACTTTTCTTCTTTTTCCCACTTTTGATCACCATGGGTGATATTTTAAATACTATAAGCCCTGTTTCTGGGTATTTGGATAAATATTGGTTGTAGGTATATTTTGGTGGCAGGATAAACTGTTTTCTTCAGTTTGATATCACATGAATAAAAGGTCTGGGGAGTATTAATTGACCCAGGGAAGAAGCAATGTTTTCTTTTAAATTCTACCATTAACATTCTATGTGGATACTTATACATTAGTGTGTGTGTGTGTGTGTGTGTGTGTGTGTGTAAAAGAGGTAACCTCTACTGTCAATTTGACAATATCTTTTTGTTTGTTTTTTGAGACAAGATCTCACTTGACAGTACAGGCTGGCCTTGAATTTACTGTGTAGCTGTTATGATTTGTGCCTAGATGTCCCCCAAATCCTCATGCAGTCACGGGGGGAGCACTTTTCAGAAATGGCTAATTCTGGAGTCTGTGATGCTGGGATTAAGTGTGTGTGATCAGTTCACTGATTGGTTTGGCACTGCCCTAACCTCAACAGCTTAGGTAGAGTATAAAAGGAGCAGAAAGACGCTGCTGAGGTTCTGTTGTTGATTTTGCTGTCTTCTGCCATTGTGAACAGTTTCTCTTCTGGGATGCCTCTCAGCCAAACCACCCTGCCTTGAAACCAACTGATTATGGACTGAAACCTCCACAAACTGTGAGCTAAATAAAACTTTTTCCCTTTAACTTTGGGTACAAGATAT